TTACACAGAATAAGCGAAGAAAAGAAAAGAAAAAGTCGGACACACGTTAAGACGCCGGTCGCAATCAACAATCAACTGACTCGTCAGTTGGGAAACAAACGATCTACCTGACCCTCCACCAAACAGAACCCCTGTGCTTTTCATGTCCTTTACTCGGCCTCAGCAGCGTCAGCCTCGTCCGCAGCTTGCTCCTCTTCAGATTCGGCTTCGGCTTCGGCTTCGGCTTCGACCTCAGCTTCAGGGGCGCCGTTGGTTGCGCTGGCGGGCTCTTCGTCTCCGTCTCCGTTGATGTCAATCAGAGACTCGGATGATGGAGGCTCGGGGACGATACCCTCCTTCTCTAGACGAATGTACTCATCCCACTCGGGGAAGAGGTCATCATCGGTGGCGACGTCCGGGGCACCCGGTGGGACACCGATGAGGCGGGCGACCTTGCTCTTGTTGGATTGCTCTAGGGATTCCTTCCATTGGAGAACGAGCTTGGCAGCACTAGAAGGCTTGTAAGTCTGGGCGAAGAGGGCGGCTTCAGCGATGCGGTTGGTCTGGATGAGAAGATCAATGCAGCCATCGAGATCACCGAGGGACCAGAGAGTGGAGAAGGCGACATTGTGGAGGCCTGATTCAGAAGCCTGGGCAGCCAGAGACGCGAGACCTTCGCGGTTGTTGCTGGCAGTGTGAAGTAGTAACAGGGAGCCAACGTCCTTGGCGTTGGTGAAGCACTCCTGGGCCAAGGCGAGGTTCCAGCCAGCCAAGGCGGCGTCACCAACGATCTTCCACTTGTGCTCGACGTTGGCCTCGCGGGCAATAACGAGAGCAGTCTGGAGGTCGTTCAGAGAGAGAGCCAGGTCGAAACGGTGCTCGGGGTCTGTTGCGACTTCGAGGGCCATCTCCTTGTATCCTTGGCCTTCGAGGAAGCGGGCAACCTTATTCATCTGGTCTTGAGGAACATCCGCAAGGAGCTCGGCGGCCATGTCCATGTCACCGCGCAGCACCACTGTCTGGTACTCGACCATGCTGAGGGATAGGCTAAAGGAGGTGGCATTCACATCCTTGTCGGCAAGGTAGATACGACCATCTCGGGGGAGGTAACCAAGGACGTACATTGGCTGGTCGAAGTGGGAGATCGTGTAGGTTTGGTCACCGACAAGGTAGTTCAGACGGTTTGTAGAGTTCGTGTAGATGAAGCAGTCTCCAACCCACTGTCCAGTCCGGACAGACTCGTTGATTGTGGCAACCAGTTCAACAGCGGCCTCAACACCATCCTCGTCGGCTTCGCCGTTGTTCATACCGTTGATATATTCCTCGCGAGAGTAACGGAGAACATAGAAGTCATCCTCGCAAGCGAGAGTAACTAGTTCACCAGATTCGGACCAGTAAACCTATAATGATTAGCTTCACTTCGTCTCATTATCAGAGGACCACTTACCGATTTAGGGTCAGCTTCAATTCTGCGGACGAGGCTGCCAGTCTCCCAGTCGAAGAAGCCGATACCACCTTGGCCCTTCACACCAAGAAGAACACCATCGGACAGTCCCTCGGCTTGGAAGCCAACATCGAGACCAGCACTCTGCTCCTTGAAGTTCTTGAAGATCTTGACACTCGTCGATGATTCGCGGATAGCGTAGTCGTTGCTGTTGTCCTTGGCACCCCAAGCAAAGTCGAGAGCCTGTCCAAAGGCCTTGTTTCGCCACGCCAATGCGGTGTAGATGATATATTCTCCATCACCGCAAACAGAAACGAAACGGCCGTTGGCAGAGTGTGTCAAAGTCTGGGGGTAGACCTCGCACTGACCAAGATCCTTTGTTGGTAGCATGAGAGGCTCGCCATCCTTGATGCTGGCGTCGCCGCCCTTAATTACTGACGAGACGACTTCGCTGTGTCGGGCCCAGATCAGCTTACCAGATCCATCCATGGAGACGGCAGGCTCCTCGCGGCCCATCTTGACTACTACTGCACCATCGTCAAAACCCATGGCAATGCCCTGTCTGCCTCTCTGGTAAGAGACACACCATGCGCGCTCGAGGCCATAGCTTAATGACTGCTCTAAGCGATAGGTATTCGCATGCCAGATCTTAATGGTGCCATCCTCGGAACCGGAGATAATCACAGGCAATTCAGGGTGGTAGCAAGCGAAAGAGACGTTACTTGTGTGGCCCTCGAGGGTTGCGATGAGTGCCTTGGTGGTGTAATCCCAGACCTTCACGGTCTTGTCGTCAGAAGTGGTGAGGAGGTAGGGCTTATCAGCCTGGGGGTAATAATCGACATGGTTCACACCCTTAGTCTCGTGAGCTTCAAGGGTGAAGTTTGCGTGGGGGGAGCCTAGGTTCCAGATCTTGACAGTCCGGTCCAAACAGGCAGAAGCGAAAGTGTTTGTATCCTTCGGGTTAATTGCCATGCCCATCACATAATGGCTGTGACCCTCGAAGATTTGCACGCACTTCCAGCCCTTCTCCCAATCCCAAAGCTTAATTGTCATGTCATCGGAGGCTGTGAGCACGAATGGCTGGGTGGGGTGAACGGCGATGGAACGAATGTAGTCGGGGTGTGCTTCGAAGGAGGTAATTTTTTCGGAGGTGTTGTAGTTGTAGACACGGAGTTGGAAGTCATCTGAACCGCAGACAATCCAGTTCTTCCGCGCAATGAAACGACCAGCACGGACGGGGACATCAGTGAGTTCGAATGTTTTGATAATGGACTGGGGACACTGTTAGAGGAGACCAGGAAGGGCGCAATCTTTTAATTAGTCTTACCTGTGATTCATAAGACCAGATGTAGACATGACCTGGACCGGGGGGTATTAGCGCATTGGACATCCCGTGAACTGCTCTCCAAACGTACCGCTGTACAAGGTTGTCAAGATCTAAGATGGTTAGTTTGAGTGATTCGAGGCAGGGTACTTCGATTACTTACCCATGGCTCTGTAGGGTGGAAGTCAATGCCCTTCACCCGCTCGGAGCGGGCAAACAGCTGCCTCTGCATTCGAACATTACCGTTAGCAATCCCTCCATTTTCGTGTCGGTGTGAGGTGCCATGTCGCTTTTTTCTTCGGGGGTATGTTCAAAGCGACATGGGCCACTTCTCGTCTTGCGTACCTTGACGTCGAGCCGCATGTTGTGTGGGGGATGAGATGAGTGTTTGTGTGGTGCGGCGTTGGGCCTGCGACAACGAGGAGGATTCCGCGAGCCGCTCAGTCAGCCCGAATAGTACGGAGGAACAGGCCTCGAATTAAAGTAGGAATTGAGGGTATTAACAGAAGTTTGAGATGATGGAGAGCTTGAGGGAGAGCACTTCAGGGACAGCAATGTATGTGTCCACAAGGGATTCCCGCCTTGGCTCACCGCCTTCCACCATCAATCCTATACAACTTTCTATCTGGTGGTCGCAATGTTTCAATTTATGTGTTTTTTTGGAGGCTACTTGCTATGTAATGATGAGCTTTCTGTGGAGGATGAAGGCCTTTCCTTGGTCCTATGAAAAACTTCGAAGTGATATTGATCAACACTGTTAAACAGAGCCAAGCCTCCATGTATATATCTCAACGTACTGACGACAGACAAATGGAGATGAACGATCACGAAAAATAATTTGTCGCAACTCAATGCCTATTCAGAACACCGTGCTTAGACTGTCGCTATTGACATTCAACTGGAAGCTAACTAATACTACGATCGAGACCGATTAAAATCGTTGAACTTAAGAAACATGTATTGAAACAAAGCAACCTCTAGTAGTAGTTACAGAGATTGAAATTCACAGCCATTCCAGAATTACTGCTTAGTTGCCACGCTCAAAGTAAGTCCACTGGCCGGGTTGAGGCTTCTCCTCGAGTTCCTCCCACCTATGGATGTGTGAGTGGATATTCAGACGCGAAATATATGGAGCCATTGTCACTTACACCTTGGCCTTGGCAAGCTCATCAACAAGCTTAAGCTCTGCCTCGGCAACCTGAATGACCTCCTCGATCAGACCAGAGCCAATCTGTGACTCGATCAGAGAGATCCTGCTTGAAGGTTAGCGATAGGTCCAAATGTAAGAGACCAAACCATGATGTAGGCAAAACGTACTGGTCGACATCAAGAGCGGGCTCGCTCTCCCACTTCATCTCTTCATTGTAGAAGTCGGATTCAGCCTTCTCGGTGGTCTCGCTGGCCTCGGCCATGATCTTGTGCCACTCAGCCTCTTGTTGCGGGGTGCGGGCGGGACCCTCGGTAGTGGGTGTGAGTTCCTCGCCATCCCATTCGGCACCACGGGGATCATCACTTCCATCCCTATGCTGGGCAGCAACATGAGTGAAAGAACCGTCAGCGCGCTGGAGCTTGGCGAACCGCTCGGGTTCGGCTGCCAAAGTCTTGCGAACGCGCTCCAACCAGGCGTCAAATCCGGCGGGCTTTTGGGATTCGACAATTTGGAGACGATGGCGGGTCAATGCCTCGACGGATTGGCGGTAGGCGGAGGATTCGGGGAACGTCTGCAACTTCTGCAGAGTGGTCGAGTAAAGGTAGATCAGCGTCGGACGAGGGCTGGGGTGGGTGAAAAGACCAGTCAGACCGGTTGGAGCAAAAGGCTCCAAGTACCGGGGCTTGACATTAGCCAGTAGCCGGAGTGTAGACCGCATTGTGAATGAATTTGGGGATATTGCAGTCGCATCGGTTAGGGAGGGCGAAGTGTCGAAGTCGGCCCGGAGCGGATTAACCCGATGTTCCACTCCAAACGGCAGGGGGAAAGACGCATCTCGCCTTTTTCATTCACCATCCAAGCCTCACGTCTGGATTGCTCGGGCTGTGTGCAGTTCTGTTTTGTTCTCAGCTCCGGGGCGCTATAGTCGCTAAGTGCTGCCTTTTTGCGACGTGTTGACCAGTGCCCACCTGCGTCGTCCTCGCCCCCCGTTCAATGTGCCACCTGTGACAATTCGCGATCCTCCCGTACTTCGACCAAAGTCCTTCGTTTTCCTCAACCACCTTACACTTTCTTTCAATCCTGAAATTTGACCCTCGGTCAACATGAAATCCTCTTGGTTGGGCTTGTCCCTCCTCTCCCTGTTGGCAGCGCCCACTTTGGGTGCGCCTTCAGATGCCTCTTCTGGTCTAGAATCGGGGAACCATGCCTCGCTTGCTCCACGAGGTGGTCGCGGACTGGACCCAGAGGAACCCTCAGTTTTCAATGAGGTCGAGGTCCCCCCGTTGACCCAGATCACCCCCCAGAATTTCGAGGAGGTCACCAAAGATGGGATCTGGTGAGGATATCCAGCCCAGAGGCTCTGTCATCATGCTAACTGCTATAGGATGATCAAACATTACTCTCCATCTTGCCCCCACTGTCAAACGGCCGCTCCCATCTACCAGACCCTATATGAGTACTACTATGTGAGTATTCACCATGTTGCTTGAACACATCGAAACAAACTAATTTGCGTTAAGACTTCGAACCCTCTGTTCATCTCTGCAGCAAAGCCTGATGAGCCTAAGTCCTTGAACTCTTTCACCGGCTACTACAACTTCCGTTTCGGATCAATGAACTGCCTGGCATACAGCGACTTCTGCTCCAAGTTGAAGGTTGACTACTATCCTGCCTGGGGATTCTATCAAAATGGCGTTCAACAGGAGCCACCGATTGGTGCCAAAAAGATGTCGGATCTGGCTGAAATGATCGAAAAGAGGCTCGAGACGGTCAAGCCTGGATCTCGGCCTTCGCAGGGCGTCGAGCTACCAAAGATTGGCGCCAGGGGTATGGAAATGACTGCCAAGCCTTTGACCGAGGCAGCCATTGAGGCAGCAAAGGAAAAGGCCGACGAGAAGCTGAGCGTTACGACCTCCGAATTGGAAGGCGTCAGCCCTCAGGCCGCCAAGGCCAAGATTCAAGGACGGCCCGCCAACCCTCAGGGTCTTTCCATCCCGCTAACTGCGGAGAGCTTCCAAAAACTTGTTACCACTACCCGTGACCCGTGGATCATCAAGTTCTACGTCCCATGGTGCCCTCATTGTCAGGCTATGACTCCCAACTGGAACTCGATGGCCAAGGAGATGAAGGATAAGCTCAACGTCGGTGAAGTGAACTGTGAAATTGAGAAGCGCCTTTGTGAAGATGCACGAGTGAGCGCCTACCCGACTATCTACTTCTTCCGTGGTGGCGAGAGGGTTGAATACACCGGCCTTCGAGGCCTGGGCGATCTCATTTCGTATACCAACAAGGCTGTTGGCGTCGGTTCCAGCATCCAGGATGTCGACGCTGCTACATTCAAGGAGCTGGAGAAGACTGAGGAAGTCTTGTTCCTGTATTTGTACGATGACGCGACGACTTCCGAGGACTTTGAGGCTATGAATCGTCTGACTCTCAGTCTTGTTGGACACGCTCGCATTGTCAAGACCAACAGTGCTACTCTGTCAGAGCGTTTCAAGATTTCTACTTGGCCTCGTCTTTTGGTAGTCCGCGATGAGCGTCCCAACTACTACAACGCTCTTGCCCCTAAGGACATGAGAGATTTCCGCCAAGTCCTCTCCTGGATGCAAACTGTGTGGCTGCCTATTGTTCCCGAACTCACTGCATCCAATGCTCGGGAGATCATGGACGGAAAGTTCGTTGTCCTCGGACTTCTCAGTCGTCGCCGTTCCGATGACTTCAAGCAGTCCAGGCGTGAATTGAAGGAGGCTGCTCTCGAGTGGATGGACAAGCAGGTCCAACTTTTCCGTCTTGAGCGCGCTGAACTTCGTGATGCCAAGCAACTACGCATTGAAGAAGCCGATGATCGCAATGACCAGCGCGCACTGCGGGCTGCAAAGAACATGCGTATCACCATCCGCGAGGACGACAAGAAGCCAGTTGCTTTTGCTTGGGTTGATGGCGATTTCTGGGAGCGCTGGCTGCGTACTACCTACGGCATTGATGTGGAGAGCAGTGATCGTGTGATTATCAACGATCAGGATAACCGTCGTTACTGGGATACCGCGTCGAGTGGTGCCCCCATTATGGCCTCAAGAACCTCCATCCTAGAGACCATTCCTCTCGTCATTGCCTCCCCCGCCAAGCTGTCTCCCAAGTCAACCATTGGCACTTTCGAGACCATCTTCTTCTTCGCCCGATCTCTCCTCGGCAGCCACCCCATCCTCTTCTTCATCATTCTAGGCGCTGTGGTGGCGGTAGCCACCTTCTTTGGTCGTGCACGCCTCCGCCGCAGCGCCCCTCGTGGAGGTATCATTGGTAATAATAACAACAGCAACAACAATGGCGGCTTCTTCCACCTTGACGGCAAGGAGGGTTTCCTGAACGGAGGTTCGACCGGAAAAGTCGATTAATGTGACACATGTACAGTTAGGGTGTTTGGCTGCGCGATTCTTATAATCTTTGTTTCCACTGTATTTGATTGATGCTGGTCTATTTTCGTGCACTGCCTGTCCCACCAACTTCGTCTCATTTGAATCTTTTGCATGTCAGATCGTGGGGTTTTGAAGCACATATCTCCTTCCTTATTCTATTTCTTTTTCCTTTGCCCAAACCTGGAGTCCAGGCGTATTAGTTCCCTATATCCCAGAAATCGAATCCATAATTGCATTCAATCTAGTCCTGTTCTTGTCCCTGTAGACCATCACGACAACAATTATCTTCCCTATGATTGGCTGTTTGGCTTCAAGTCACGTGCACACTCGGGCACTCCCGGTTTTCGTCGAAGTGCCAGCTCTCCCCTCGAGCCATTGTCCCACCAAATCACACCGGTGTCATTCAAAATGGTAAGTGGCTGCAGAATCACCAGAAGACAGAAAGACAACCCTGAACCCGAAGTTTCCTACTTGTTCGGCCACGGTCCGGGCAGGGCGTCGCGCTGTGGATATCACAACCGGCCTCCGAACCGACGGGATGAGAAGTCAACCTGTCACCTTGAAAGCATCCATTGCTAACAGAGATACTATAGTTCGCCACTTCTGCTCGCCGCGCTGCGGCCCAGGCTTCCGCCTTCGCCCCCAAGTGAGACACCCGATCCTTCCCTTGAACCCTGGACGAACTTTTGAGTGTGTCAGACGAGAGCAACACAGAGCAATTGGAGGGTGAACCCATCAGCGCAGTATTTGTGGCTCATTGGACACTACGCCATTCTCTCGTTGTCTCAATCCGGAGCTTCGCGGAGCTGCATTGCGCAGCGTGCAACCCCGGGGCTTTTGTACCAGCCGACTCGAAGCAGACCAGAGAACAATGAGAACATCACACTAATCACCTCGATGCAGGTACACCATTCCCCGTCACTACGGTGGTTACACCCTGGGCTCCGCCATCAAGACGTAAGTTCTCCGATCCTCCGGCCCCCAATTCAAATACTCCGACTTGGACAATATATACTGATGCCTCTCTCAGTGGTACCCTCCTCGGTAGCTTTGGTGTCGCCATTGGCACTGGTGCCCTCTTCATCTTCGGCGAGGTCCCCCGTGTGCGCAACGACATCCTCCGCAAGCTCCCCTTCTTCGACAACTACTACGACCGCACCATCCCCGCCGAGGACAACGTAAGTCGAATCCGATCCTCGCGGTTGTTAGAATGTGATTGACTGACATCTTATTCTTTGTTTTAGCCCTTCTAAATTCTCCGCAAAGATATACCTGTTCCCCTTTTTGACCGATATGGCTTAGAATCTCTGGACAGGCTGGGGCTGTACTGTGTAGAATAGCGATGACAGGTCTTTTCTGTTTTTAATAGCACATAGAAACGACTGTTTCGAAAGTGTCTTTCCAGTGTGATCCGAAGTGCTGTACCTGGATATTGCCAGGTGATGTAGTCCAGCAGTGTATGATGTACAAAGGCTTCTGTATGTATATATGGACCAATCTTCAACTGCCCAATCATCGACAAGCACGGATAACCATCTGAAAAGAGCCCATTCCGGCAAGTCCAAGCATAGATAAGCCCCTACTGTGATGTCCAAGCCTTATCTCGCTTGTCTCTTATCATGACACCTGCCTAGGTTAACCCCCCGTGAGTTTCAACGCCTGCAACTTCCCCTATAGGTTTGGGACCTTCGCCAAGGTAACTGGGACAGAGGCCCTGAGCCTCGAATGAACGCCCTGCATAGCTCCGCTCTGTACGAATCACAGCCCCCCGTGCGGAGAACTCAAGCCCTGCCCATGGACTCTTGGATATTCCACTCTATCAGACTTAAACTCTACATTATTCATGAACTTATTCATTGTATTTCGTATCAAGTCATTCGCTCTTATCGCAAAATAGGCCGCTCCTCGCCTGTCTTCTCCCCCCCAAGGCGATAATGCGATATTGACCTTCTACTGCTCTCGTTGGACGTGTGCTTCCGGATCGTCATGCGCGGGGATGATGGAACGTGGAAAACGCCACCCCTGCGAGATTAGGTAGATAACATGCGGTGCTAGGGTCTCCTAGTTCTGTAGGATTGGAGGCTTGGTTGGTGCTATATTATACTCTTCTTTCCCTTTGATCGGGGTAGTTTTGCTTTCTTGTATAAGTGACCTGAGATCCTGGACTTTGGTCCTATCGTCTCGACCTTGACGTATCACACCCATTCTTCTTTTTTAGTGTCTCATCTCTTGATTTCAGATCGAAAATCGAGCATTATATCCCTGCATTTTCGTTATCCTTACAGCGGTTAGTGGCTACTTGCCTCGGCCATGGGCGCAAGCATGGAGTCCAAACCCTCCGTGTCTGTCGACAAAAGTACTGGGTATCATGATGCTGGACATCAGCAGGTTACCTCTATTCTCCCGGATGGCGATGTGCCATACATGGATCATGACATGGATGCGGATGAGCAGGTGATTACAGCACTGGGTTACAAGCAGGAGTTTAAGCGCGAGTTTTCGCTGTGGACGACTTTTTGTGTTAGTTTTGCTGTTCTAGGACTGTTGCCTTCTTTTGCGAGTACTCTTTACTATGGTGAGTGCGATCTAGATGGGATTGTTCGATTGGATATCCATCTCGAGATATACTGACATCGGATGATTCAGGTATGGGATATGCCGGCACAGCAGGTATGGTCTGGGGTTGGATAATCGCCATGATCTTCATTCAATGCATTGCAATGTCAATGGCCGAGCTTTGCTCAGCTATGCCTACGAGGTCAGATCCCACCCTTCCAAGCCAACATTTGACAGCCTCGGACAAGGACGAAAGAACTAACGAATGATTCACCAACAGCGGCGGTCTCTACTACGCAGCAGCAGTCCTCGCACCACCAGGCTATGGACCCTTCGCAGCATGGATCACCGGATGGTCCAACTGGATCGGCCAGATCACAGCCGCGCCAAGTGTGAACTACTCCCTCAGCGCAATGATCCTAGCAGCAGCGTCGATCCACTACCCCGACTACACACCAACAAGCTGGCAAACCTTCCTCCTCACCACCCTAATGATGATAATCCACGCCGGAATCAGCAGCATGCCGACCAAGCGCGTCGCGCAGTTCAACTCCTGGGGCTCAACCTTCAACTTCCTAGCCCTAATCGCCGTGCTCATCCTCATCCCCGCCAACACCAAAAACGTCCCCAAATTCACCCCCTCCCACGAAGTCTGGTCCCACATCACCAACCTCACTGACTTCCCGGACGGCGTCGCCGTTCTCATGACCTTCGTCGGCGTCATCTGGACCATGTCCGGCTACGACTCGCCCTTCCACCTCAGCGAGGAATGCTCCAACGCGAACATTGCCTCGCCGCGCGCAATCGTCTTGACCTCCGGCGTGGGCGGGCTGATGGGCTGGTTCCTGCAGCTGGTCGTTGCGTACACGGTCCTGGACGTCGAGGCCGTCATCGACTCCGATCTGGGCCAGCCGTGGGCGTCGTACCTGCTGCAGGTCATGCCGACCAACTCGGCCATGGCTATTCTGGCGCTGACTATTGTCTGTGGATTCTCCATGGGGCAGGGCTGTATGGTTGCTGCGTCGAGGGTGACGTATGCTTATGCTCGCGACGACTGTTTCCCCTTTTCGAGGTATTGGAAGGCTGTGAATGGGTATACGCAGACGCCTGTCAATGCTGTGATCTTGAATGCTGTGTTGGGGATTCTGATGTGTTTGCTTATCCTGGCGGGCGAGGTCGCTATTGGGGCTTTGTTTTCTATTGGGGCTATTGCGCAGTTCTTTGCTTTTGCTGTGCCGATTTGTATTCGAGTTTTCTTTGTCGGGAATCGGTTTAGGAAGGGGCCCTGGCATTTGGGGCCGTTTGGGCCTTGGATTGGCGGCGTCGGTGTTGCTTTTGTCTTGCTGATGGTGCCTATCTTGTGTTTGCCGAGTGCGACTGGTAGTGATCTGACCCCGGATCTGATGAACTGGACTTGTCTGGTGTGGGGGGCGCCTATGTTGGCTGTTACTATTTGGTGGGTTGTTGATGCGCGGAAGTGGTTTACTGGGCCTGTTGTGAATGTTGAGCATGCTATCCATGCTGTTGAGCAGGAGCCGGTTGTGAGTGAGGGGATTGAGCCTGTTTCTCTGGAGACCGAGACTAGTGGTCTTCCGCGGAAGTCGGATGATCCTGATAATCCTCTTTGAGTTGGGTGTCGAGTATTGATATAACGTTATGAGTTTCAGGCTTGTTTGTGATCGCGCTACGTTCTTGGTATATTTACCACCTGTTAATGGATTGAATTCATTGTTCCCGCAGTCTAGGCTGAACGCTTTTAATTCTGCAAGAAAGTGACCTGGATAGTCGAATGACCGAGTGCCACAATATAAGCATCCGCCACCTGCATATCACCAAGCGCAGGATCCATAATTATGGATAGATCTGACAGCCGCATGGAGCAGACCCAGTGCCCCTCCTTGCCTTGAATTTGGGGCAGTGATGGCCATGTGGATGGAGGAGTGGGCTTACTCCACCAGTCCCAGCTTCAGATAAGCGTATGCGACTGCATGCAGTCATGTTAGGTCCGGATGCGGTATCTAGGGAGAAAGATATAATCCGCCGTCAGTATTTGTCGGCTTAGCTAGGTGCTAGGTATTAAGGATTGGGTATTCACGAGAGAATCCGCATTCAGTTAGGGCTAGGTGCAGCATGGAATGTAGTGATCTCGAAAGACACGAACATCTCACCAATAGAAAAGAAAGACCAAACAGCAAGACTGACAATCCAATCCCGGCAGAGTATCTGCACCACAAGACGGCAGTAAGTACATGTACATGTACATGTACATGTGTGTGGCACGGCTGGGTGGCTCTCACAGTTGTACCCGGTACCTAGCGATAACACCCAAGAGCTCAGCAACGCAGGCCTAAAAGAACACCTAGCATGCCTAAACTAGAAGAAAGCCATCAACTAGATACAGTCTTGAAACTCCCAGTCACTGATACAGCGTGATGCTGAATCGGTACACTGTACACGTACCTCGCGCTGGGATCCCCGGGGAGAATGCTGAAGATCCACCCCCTGAGACCCCACCGGCGCTGGTGGACACTGAACATGGATGCAACGGAGAAAAAAAAAAGAGTTGGCACAGATATGCTTAATCTGACTCCAGGAGAACACCCACTGTCTCCACCAAAGTATACAGTATATGTTGGGGCTGCCCAGAGTCATAATAAACACACTATCAGTAATAGTCGGACATTATTTGAATAGTCAGACCACGATCAATATGCCCCCAAAGACACGGCACAAGTCCCTATTATCGAAGTCAAATTCGGCCACTACAGTTATTCTAACGAATGTTGCCCAACCAGATCAGCTCACTCAGCCATGCGAGACCACCACGTAACGCGTACCAGCCAAGCACCAGTCACCAAGCCACAAAGAAACTAAAAAAGCCCTCCAGGCCTCCAGTTACCCCAAATCACAATCACACCGGCGACTATTCTACGACTACAGTGTACAGTATGGTAAGATAGAACACCGATCGACACTGACAGGGGTCCCAATCCCAATCCCAGTCGCGGTCCCAGTGTGCCAGGAACCGATCGGCGACAACGTACAGGACATACGTCATGAAAGAACAAGCCCAGTGCGATACCCACGGTTCAGTGATCCCGTGCCTGGAAAAAAAAAGTTCAAGACCCCAACAGCCAAGGAAAAAAAAAAGGCAAAAGGCAAAAAAAGAGCGAAAGAGTGAAAGAGTGCAAGTGTCTGATTTCCAGTACCGTGGAATTTACCCTAAAGAGGCGAGGAGAGAAACGCCTTGGTGGCTGCATTGAGAGAGTCGGAGACCACCCGAATTGCAAATTTACCATACCATACCCTTTCACGGCCATTTTGCCATTTTGCATTCCTTGGCGTATTGGTATTCTATTGTCTTTCGGCCCGATTTCTGGCTTTTCTTCGGCTCAGGCAGCCACTGAATCCATGCAATGTTGCGTGCACCGTCGACGGCAGGAAATCAGATACATGTCAACAGGGCAAGATTGGTTCTGGGTCTCTTGGTTTGGGGATGGTTGGGTATAGGGTTGGTTCCATGGGTTCTTGGGGGATGAGAGGACCATGGGCTTGCATCACATGAGGTAGTATTATCAACTCATGACAAGATGGAAAGCGAGGGAAATATGATATTCGACTTTTTGTTACCACATATTTCCGTAGATTCTTGAAGTCTATCCGAAACCTATGACGTGGCGTCCGGTTGAGAGATTTCCCTGAGAGATATAATCATCACCATTTCGTGTAGTGCATTCAACAATGTTGACAGGATGAGAGAGCTCCTATAGTGAGAGAGAGGTCCATGTCTCCCGTCTCCATCCTTGATCCACATATCCCTATGGGATGGAGCATGTCACTGACCTTGACATCTCCAGAGTCTCCAGAGTCAATTCCATGTGAACTGTCCAATACCACACGTAAGATCTAGAATACCGAGTCTTCCCCTATGAGGTCGGTGGCGGTGCGATCCTTTTGCTGCAGCGGACAAGGGGGAGTATGATTGGCCAACAGGATCCTGAAACTCGGCGATCCGGACTTGGCTTTGGCGGTGTTTCCGGCCTGTGCCGGCGCCTGGAAGACTTTCTTTGGTTGGTAATTTTGATGGGGATTTTTCGTGGTGATTTTCTGCATTTCTCTCTCACGTGAGTTCCTACCAGTTCGGCAGTCGTGGGGATCTCCGTCGAGTCGACTCCGTCTGTTGGACACTATTGTCGGTGGATTAGGCTCACTATCAAGCCCAACAAGTACTTTAGGTGTTAGTCTGAACTAGATCCAAATTCCATCGGCAGGGTTTTCTCCAGCCAAGCTTTCCTACCAGAAAAGAAAAACCAGGCAGCCGATCCGATGCTTGGTCATGCACAAGACTAGACCTTCCGGAGCTCCTGAACCGGACCTGTAACTAATGTATACATAGACACACATGATTCAATCTCAGACAGGTCGGAGGATGTCATGAACAATTCCCTTGTGAGTCCCCCCCCTGATTCTCAACATTTGTAAAAGAATTACTCGGCAAAAGCCTCACCGTACTTTGCACACCCTTCCCTTTGGGGGAATGAGTGGAGACCGCCAACATCCGGCGTTGATGCCGAGAGCTCCAAATTCCGTCCTAACGACCTGCCAGATTGAACACACCGCACTTAATTCAAGTCGGCTTTCAGACGAATAGAACGCTTTGCCGGAACCCGAAAATAGGAGAAACAAGTAGACATGCAGGTCCTAAGTTAATACAGTACACACACAGAACACATACCGAGGTGAGACAATGTGGAAGGTTAAGCGAGAGCCTGTTACGTGTGGAATTGGGGTTCATTCCCGACTCATTCAACTGGATACCGAGTCCGTAGTTGGACAGTGGCCTACAAGCTCGAAAAGACACACCTCAACACTGCTATAGTCGGATGTCTGCAGAACCCTGGTCGAAGCCTTCCAGGTCCACAATCGAAGCGGGAGAAGCTCTTGCGAAGGGGTGGAGAAGGAGGGGCAGGGATATTGGGTCCGGAATACAGATCTTGTCCGTTTCCACGTACTATACGAGATGTACTAGACTGCAAGTCATGGATTACACTTTTATCAATCTGCGAATACTGTATGACCAAACCCCCTATTCTCCGTTTCTTTCTCCTATTTGAAGTCCTGAAACTTTCTCGGGTTGCTTATTAAACCGGCTTTCATCAGGGGGAGGGGGGTCAACCCCCTGAATTCGGAAACATTCCTGCCGTCTCTAGGCAGAAATCGGAGATGGATTTAGACTCCCTTCTCCAACGTCTAAGAACGGAATCAGGGCGGTTACGGCGCTCCGACAAAGTACGAAACCTACATCTGACACTGACATCTTCCACATGGGGGTTATGGGGGTTATGGGGGTACTGGGTTCTAAGGGCCACGGTGCATGGTCGTCACTACTGTAGACATTACTCGACACTACTTGACACTACTTCACACTACGGTCGGACATGATGTTCCCCCCCAACCACCATAATGCAATCATCATCAGTTGAGGTCTGAGGACCCCCTCTTGAGAGTGATGCATGCAAGAGAAACTGCAGCAATGCATAACGTCCTATTCCGGAGCCTTTGTTCAGGCCTCTCGAGGATCTCTCGGACCGCGGAATGACGTGCTGGGGAGATCAATGCAGATGATCTAGACATGCCTGGTTATCTCTTCAGCTGTCTATATCTCAGATCTCACACCTTGCGGGGCCCAGCCACTGCGGAGCCGTCAACAAAGACGAGGTAATCCACCTGGAGCTCCAGTAGATCTACGTTCATGGTCCTGTACTCCATTATGGAGGGGGAGGGGGGGCAGGATAGACGTACGAGGTGAGATTGGGGTCCTGTTTCGACCAGCATAACAGTAAAAAGTCGGAATTGAACGCGAAATGGAACTCGACCTCAAAGCCAATCACAGATCCCAATAGAGCCCAGGAGCCCAAATAATGTCCATGTCCTATGAATATCAACGCATAACGTTACTGCTTGCGAGTACCGCGATCGGCCATTCCCAAAACGGCAACCATGTAATTTTCGTAATACCGTACGGTCTCAATATTTGGCTCTTCGCCTCTTGCCTCCCCGAGGAACGATCGTCTTTTTTCGTCTTTTTCGTTCTCTTTTTTTTTTTTATTACCCGGTCTTCCGCCTGAGAATTCTCTTTCCCCCCAATTCTCAATTCTTCAATTCTTCAAACCTGAGACTCATCCTCGTTCGCATTCTCTTTCTTTCTGGCTCATATCTCTTTTCCTGTCCGTTCAACCCGATTGACGCGAAGCAGATCTCGGACTAGTTGTTTTTTCCTGCAGACCCACTTACACGCCCGCTTCTTCGGTGGATACAGAACCATCGACGCTGACAACGTGCGGATAAATCACACTTCTTTGCCGTGGGGACATCTTCTTCAATTAAGCATTCTCTTCTCTTATTCTCTCTTCTTCATCCTGTGGAGTCCCGAGTTTCAGAATTACCCTTTCCTCGTGATCTGTGATCTGTGAAGTCGTTTCGCCTCCGGGGAAAATTTCGTCAAACAAGGAGCTGCGCTTCAAGGGAAAAAAAAAATCGAGATTGCAGTTTTCAGAGTTCGATGATTCAGTTACCGTGAACAACAACTTATTCCCTCGATCTCTCTCTCTCTCTCTCTTTTTTTCTCTACATACAATGGATCCCAGATCGCACCCTTCCCGTCCTCCCTCCACCAGCTTGCCTCCAGGCTCCACGCCCATGTCTTCGACTCCCATCTCGAGCATGCACATGCCACAATACTCGATGCAGCCGCAGTACCCGGTCTCGCAGCCGCACACTCTGCCTCCTCTGCAGCCGCATCACCCTCAGTCGCCCGCACCGCACCATTACATGGGCCAGCCGTACCGCCCGGATCTGTCGCGGTATCCCGCTTCAACTCACGATGTCTATGGGGCCTCGACGGCCCCTATGATGCCGCACTCGACTGTCGGTAGCCTTCCGCCGTCGTCTATGTTGAATCTTCCTAATCCTCAAACACAGGCGCATCAGCAGTACCCCCCACCTCCCCCGAGCGTCCTCCCGCCCGCATCCACCGCTCAGAGCTACCCTCAGCCGATTGCCCCGGCTCCCCCACGCGACCGCCGCCCCGATTTCAATGGTCTCCCCTCCGGTGCTTTCAGCTATTCCGATGGTAAGGGTTGGGGAATGACACCTGACGTGAATGGCGGGAACGGCTCCCCCTACGCTAAGGAACAGCCTCGCACACAGGTCGTAGGCTCCCAGGGCCGTCGTGGCATCTTGCCCAGTGTCCCTGGCCGCGCGACTCCCGTGGCCAACGGTGTCAATGGCACCGCGAAGAGCACCACCATCCCCGCCAAGGACGCCGATGGAAAATTCCCCTGCCCGCACTGTAACAAGACTTACCTCCACGCGAAGCACCTGAAGCGTCATCTCCTGAGACGTGAGTTGAGGAAATTGAGGAGTGAATTGACATTGGCTAACGCGTCACAGACACCGGTGATCGCCCCTACATGTGTGTTCTTTGCAAGGACACCTTCTCTCGTAGTGACATCTTGAAGCGTCACTTCCAAAAGTGCTCGATTCGTCGGGGTAACCCGACTGGTGCCACTCACCTGTCGCACCCCCAGGCCCATCTGAAGCGGTCTCAGCAGCAAGCAGCTGCGGCTGCCGCGGCCAACCCCCGAAGCCGCTCCAGGATGAAGTCAGTAATACTGTCCCCCACTCCAATGGTGTCATGGGTGCGCATTTCGATGGGGCCGTGAATGGCAATGGAATGGCCGCTGGCCGTCCCGCCTACACGGATCAGCAGCCGCTTGGCTTCACGATGCAGTCTGTCAACGGCATGAACCGTGGTCCCGGTGACGACGCGTTCTCCGCTGGCCAGGCGCAAGCGCGAGCCTCGTGGATGGCTGCGCCCAAGCAAAATCCGTATCTCATGCACCACGGTGTAGATGCCCATGGCCAGCAGCTGACGGTTGATCGTCCACTTGAACAGGTAAAGCCCCTGGTCCATCCTGACCACAAGCCGGTGATGCCCGGTCCCCCTTCACATCCCGCCGGTGTTGACTGGAATTCGATGTTTCAGCATGGCGCCTCAGATGGTTACATCAACCCCGTTTTCCCCCACTCCATGGCCGCGGGCCAAGAGTCCATCCACGCTCCCGTCGACCACGACCGCAAGTACTACCCTGCCACCACTGCCCCCGAGGGCGGCATGAACGGTCTGTACCTTGCCTCGACCACCATGGGTGGTGACGGTTAGTCAATTGTCCCTCTCATTCTCTTTACCAATTCGCATATTAAACAATACCAGGTACCGTGCAGCCCGCGAGACAGTAGACAAGTGAATTCGATCAGAAAGCAAGATGAGATAGGAGATTGAAAAAGCGTCTGACGAATCAAGAGAAAAATCCACTCTTCTTCCGCAGCGCCGGGGGTAGGACTTCTGCTCTCCACCCTCTCAACCAAACCGTCCATCCCACCACTTTCTGCTGGTGTAAATTCACAGGTCGCGATTCTCTATCCTCAATTCCGCAACGACAGTCCTCTGATCCGAACCGCCCTCGACACCCGACCCTTCCATTCTTGAAGCTCGCAGCGGCGTTCCGTGCCCCGGCGTCCGTATCCGTCCGGTTTTGTTTTTTTTGTATCGTGGTCCTTGATGGCCCTCACCTCATTTTTATTTTCTTTATCCATTCTACATTCGATTCAATTCTGTTCCCATCAGGCGTGGGTTGTGTCTCTCCTGCATCTCTTTCTCCTTACTTTACACCCTTATGTCATATATTAAGTGGGACTTGATTTGCGATCCTTGGTTGTTGTTACTCTTTACACTTACTCTCAACCCTCCCCTCCTCCCCATCTCCATGATTCCATTGCCCATTGGAGTTCGTGTTTGTGCTCGTGTTTATGGGAGGAGGGGAAACCCTGTTGAGCGGTATAGTGGGTGGTTTGTTCCGGCGTCTTCATACTATAGACATGGGCATGTGATTTGTTCTATTCATCTTTTTGCGCGAGTGTTCGATCATCAGAAAGAAGAAAAAAGCTCTTTTCTTTACTCTTTACGTTTTTCTTTTATCTTTACTTTTCTTATGGGATGGCTGTTGTCGGTTTTATTACTTTTCTTTGCAATTTTTACCTGGTGCATCTTTTTGGAGGTCTGGGCTGTGCATGTGCATGTGCATGTGCATCGCTTGGCCTTTCTTTTCTTTCTCTCCTGTGTTAGTAAAATCGATCCAAGGCGCGGTTTACAGTCTATGTGCTATGTGAATTGTCGGTCTGCTTTGGGCTAACATCACATCGTGTGATTTACGTGTTTCCCTTTCTGTTTATATTTGATTATGCTTTTGGGAGAAGCTGTTGGAAATAGACTTTCTTATAATCTTTCACATGTCTTTTGGGTGTAGATGAGTAGACAGTAGATGCAGGATGTTTGTTCGAGTGCGTCACAATCACAGGTTACTCGTAGTTGCAGCTGAACCTGCATTACAGGGTACCTTTTTTTTCTGCCTCGAGATATAGAATCGAAGAGTGGACGTGTCCACAGTGAAGTCACCGTGACCATCACCTCCCTCAAGGGGTCAAGTTTTCTTAATCACTTAGAAGTACGCAGAGGAGACTTTCATTAGGCCCTTGTCAACCTACTGTATAGTCGCCTGTACCCAGCAGAAAGAGGGGGAGGCATGGATCATAGGCTCACTCGTGTCTTGTAATTTAGCCAGGACTTTGCAGACGCAGAGAATGCAAAATGTATCTTGCTTCATCTTATTCTGTTACTTGGAATTTGGAATTGCGTGGGTGGAAACTTGGGTATCTGTGCGTGGTCGAGTGCAGTAGGTAAAAAGACAAGAAGGAGCGTATGGGCCGTGGATGTTGTCTTACAGGGTGATTGGTAGGAGGCCTGTTGAGAGGATGCATCGTCATGAGCGGAGTTAAGAGCAGTGTAGTCTACAAGGTCTTGACTGTGTGTATCATTTTGCTCTGGTGTTTGGTATTGAGAGAGAATGGGCTTGTCTATAGAAGAGCATGAGGCAAGCAGCTGGGTACGGATATGATCAGGAACAAGAGTAAGGCCGACGAAGGCGAAACAGAGATACAGACAGCCGTAGAGAGAAAAAGATTTGTCTCGTGAAGGTTTAGCTCGAAGGGAGTATGTGAGAGATGTAGTACTGCAGTCCACGGGTACTATACTAGCACAGACAATCATGCAGGCTGCATACACAACAAACAATCTCAAGTACTATGGAGAAGACTATCCAAGTGTCCAGAACCTCTTTCCATATAGTGTTGAGACTTATATTACATCTTATAGGTTGTGGCATGTTACAATACAATGCAATAGAAACTACAATGACTGAAGAAGGTTGGAGGAAGTAGACTTGAAGATGGACCATTTATTTCATCTAATACATGGAAATAGCATGTCTCATGGAGGTGACGAAACGATCAAAACTAGACAACGTAGGGGATACATGGGGGCAGAATGAGAGGACCTAAGACCGAAGACCGTGGTGTCAAATGATGTGTCACGGTAGAGTTGATGAGTGACGGGGCAAGCCAGGAGCCTGAAGGGTGGACCGTGGATAGTAGTTGGTCAGATGGATGTCATATAATGTTGACACATGAGGCAAGATAGTAAGCCTTGAAGGACATGGTCATGAAAGGCATGACAGATGTCAGAAGAAGTGGACATGTTGGTCATGAAGGGCATGACAGATGTCAGAAGAAGTGGACATGTTGGTCATGAAGGGCATGACAGATGTCAGACGTGGTGGACATGTTGGTCATGAAGGACGATGGAAGTAGACATGGAGGTCGAGGAGGTCACGAAGGTTGGAGGATATGGACGTTGGATGTCAAGAAAGTTGACCATGAAAGATGAAGGCCACAACAAATGAAGAACACAGAAGATGGAGGCCACAGAAGATGGAGGCCACAGAAGATGGAGGTCACAGAAGATGGAGGCCATGAGAGATGGAGGCCATGAGAGATGGAGGCCATGAGAGATGGAGGCCATGAGAGATGGAGGCCATGAGAGATGAAGGCCATGAGAGATGGAGAATGTGCCAGTGTTGAATGCCGAGTGCCAATGCCTGTCGATTCCAGTGTCGAGTGTGCCCGTCGATTCATATCCATGTATCCCACTCGCTACAAGAAACGAGGACTCATTTTCATATCCCGTTGTACCGTCAATTCCCGATGTTCGTCGGTCGTCGATTCTTAATACCCGTCGATTCACGAACTCCACACGCTACAAGAAGCGGGGACACTTAATATCCCTTTGTACCATCGATTGTTGATGCCCGTCAACTCATCCACGTATCCCACTCGTTACAAGAAACGGGGGCTCTTATATTCATATCCCGTTGCACCGTCAATTCTCGATGTTCGTCGGTCGTCGGTCGTCGGTCGTCGGTCGTCGGTCGTCGATTTCTCCCGTCAATTCATATCCAGGTATCCCACTCGCTACAAGAAGCGAGGACTCATATTCATATCCCGTTGTACCGTCGAAGGTTGTTGATCTGGAAGGCAAGGCAAAAGGCAAGGCATGAGATAAGAGTTGATGTATGTCAGGAGGTATGACATGTGTGGAAGGTTGATGGATGTCAGAAGGTATGACATGTATGGAAGGTTGATCCAATTGATGTGTGTATCTATAGCAAGACATGTTAGTCATGAAGGTGAAGGGTCATGAAGGTGAAGGGTCATGAAGGTGAAGGGTCATGAAGGTGAAGGGTCATGAAGGTGAAGGGTCATGAAGGTGAAGGGTCATGAAGGTGAAGGGTCATGAAGGTGAAGGGTCATGAAGGTGAAGGGTCATGAAGGTGAAGGGTCATGAAGGTGAAGGGTCATGAAGGTGAAGGGTCATGAAGGTGAAGGGTCATGAAGGTGAAGGGTCATGAAGGTGAAGGGTCATGAAGGTGAAGGGTCATGAAGGTGAAGGGTCATGAAGGTGAAGGGTCATGAAGGTCAAGTGACATGAAAGGGCATGAAGGTCAAGTGACATGAAGGGTCATGAAGGTAAAGGGTAAAGAAAGAAGAAACAAACATAGACAATATAGATCATGGATGGTGGACAACCATGAGAGATGATGCAAGGTTGGATGAAGTCAGGATGTGGGGATGAGACCCGACCTCGGGACCCCCTGGCCAGGAGGGTCCTTCAGAAGGGAAACACCAGAAGAATGAGAGATATGAAGAAAGAAAGAAGAAATGAGAGAGAAAGGAAGAGGAGAAGGGTATATATAGATAAATCCTCGAATATGATTGGCTGGAGCCAATGCAAACTCCGGGGTCGACCAATCAGAGACGGAGGCGTGACGGGCCGCACCCGCATGGCGTGTTGATCTGCCGAGGATTGGCACGTTCTGCACGGATGCCGAGACTTCAAGGGTCCCCCAAAACTTTTGTAGATCCAGTAGAGCCTTAAAATCTTCAAAAATAGATTTATAAGACTTGTTTGAATATATGGTGCTTTTTCTGAACCTTGAAGCGATGAGTTTGGCCCAGGAGATGGGTTTCGCCAAGGAGGGCCTGTGTTGTGATTGCAAGGGCCCTGCATATGCCCACAGCACGCTCAAATTGCTTCAGATTGCAATGAAAAGTACTTGACAATATTTGGCTAGCCTTGAGCTACGATTTGAGCTACATTTGGTCACTCCACGATGCTGAGGCCCTCCAGGAGCCACCAGTGCATGAAGTGCCTGGGAACAGCGCCTGAACGCCGCAAAATGAGGTCTTTGGAGGCCATTGTTCTCATCCCCATATCTAGCCACAGCCATCAGATCCCATCAAATAAAGTATATCACTGTATCCAGCTAGTCTAGAGCTACATTTTGAGCTACAGTATAATACTCCACGATGTTGAGGCCGTAAAGGATTTCGGGGCCAGCGCCTGGATGCCGCACAACAGCCACTCCAATATAAGACCACCGCACTTGTATGGAGTCAAGGGAGCTCTATTACGGTATTCAGCAAGTCTAGAGCTACGATTTGAGCCACAGTAGACACTCCACGATGTTGAGGCCGTACAGGATCCCGGGTCCAGCGCCTGGATGCCGCACAACAGCCACTCCGATATGAAGCCACCACGCTCGTATGGGATTGAAGGAGCTACATTACAGTATTCAGCAAGTCCAGAGCTACGATTTGAGCTACAGTAGGATACTCTACGACTTGGAGGCCATACAAGCGTCTCAGGGTCATCACAGCCCAGAAGCGCCAGGATTATCCTGGAGAGTGGACATGAATGGCGACAGAGGGGGTCGTACATCACTCCAATGAGCGAGAATCAAGCGGTAGACTAGAGCTACGCATACGGGTCTACGAACTAGACAGCCTGCTTGGCTTTGACTATGCTTACGACCGCTTTGCAATGGCTCCTGTGGCCAGGAGATCTTCTCTGGGGTACAAATCACTGTCTGCTACATGGGAATGTGCTTTAGGGGTCATAATGCCGGTGACCAGCACGTATCTAGTCCTGGGAGTCTGTTTCTGCGTGGAGACTCGCTGGAGTGGGGATCTGGTGTACGGGAATAGCTTCATTCTGGGGGGCCATGGCCTGTTATTTAGTCACATTTAATCCAGATTCCTGGGTGTTGGGTCTCCAGCACGTGAAGACTGTCTACGAGCAGTCCTCTGGGGCCATATGGTGCCATTATCTACCTTAAACAGACCTGGGGGAGACACAGAGACGATTTCTACAAGACAGGATATCGTACTACGTCGAGGTCTATCTGTTAAGATGGACTTGTAATGGGATCAGCTTTTCTTACGGACTAGAGACCAAGAGCCCGAAGCATGAGCCATTGAGAATTGAGCATGGGCTCAAGTACCCAATAACCAGACCAGAAGGCGACTTAGGGTCAAGAATCCATTGACGAGCTTGAATACTACAGGCGAACGGGTGTGCTAGCAAGGACCAAGAAATTAAAACCTACTGCTAGACCGAGCGAACATTTTCTGTGTTATGAAAACAACTTCTCCTTGGTGACTCACAAGGTCCACGACCTCCACCAGGAGCACGGCTGCATCTTCACAGTGCAGAGATCACCCGTGAGCTCACGAGGCGAGACCGAGCAGTCTGATAGAACCCATTCTCCAAGTCCAGAGAGACCCTTGATCGGCCTGATTGCTGACAGGACATTACAACAGCAGGATCAAGGACTTCTACGGTTGACGAGCTCACGAGCCGGACCTCCAGTGAGACTCTCGCCTGTCTTCTGGGCGAGCTACGACGCTGACCATACGCTACGATATACTCTTTCCAGATCCCGGACCGCCCTGTTCCCGACGAAGCCTCACGAACGAGAGGAGAACCGAGAAAAACGGACGGAAAACAGTGGCACACGTTGAAACGGGGTGTGTGAAAATACAACAGGGAAATGGCACGTCTGTCTGCAAAGATGATCAGATTAGAGCTACGGAGGGACTGAAACTTCCAAAGCCACTGCATCTTCTCCAAAAGACATCGGACAACCATCAATGATTGGATGAACATTGGGCCGGAGTGAGACGAGCAAGGTGAGATGAATGGAACATCTGTCTATGGGAAATGGACAAATGGCATCGGGTTGAGCATATCTATACTAAGATTTATTCCCAAGGAACGAACTACAACGAAAGGAAGACGACACAACTCTCGACTATACTACGAACGGCATTACTAGAGCTTCTTGGGGAACCGAACAACCGAGGCAAGGGAATACACCATAGTATTGGATGGCCAAATAAGAGAATGGCAGCACTGCATAAGTGCCAAGGATGACTATGGCTGCAACGGGCTTCACGGGTGCTACGGATCTTTCAGGGTCGCTTTTCATCCTTGTGTCCGGAGGCCAAGAGATCATGTGCCCGGTCTTAGCCGTGCCTCCGAGGTATTCCTTGTCTGGAGGGTATCTGGAGCTATTGGACTTGATGGAGGACCATGTCTATGTGAGGGGGAGTACTGGTGAAGCTCTGGATATCTGCATCTCCAAATACCCGTTCATGAGGGTTCCGATAAGATGGCAATAAGCATTCCAATGTGGCACTGATTGTCGCATGTGCCTAGGCTCCTGCAGCATTCTATAGAGAACTAAAGACTATAAACACCACAATAGAGTCCTTTGTATAAAAGCTATCCAAACCTTTCCACGACACACAAGACAAAGAAAGTCCAATAGATCAGATCCCCAGATCCCAAGATCCCAAAAAAAGGCTCCGAAAACTCCCATTGCGACGTCATGGCCATAATACAACGACTGTGATTGGAGCGCCTACGGGTTCGGGAACTTCCAAGGTGGACGGGAACCGCTTCTCCACTTCAAGACCTCCATTTCTCACTTTCATCTCTGGATCTTCCAGTTTCTCCGTTCACGCCGACAGATCATGTCAACCAACCGTCCATTCCTAGCCAACTTCCTGGCCGCCTTCCGCGCCCAGTCAACCTACAAAGCAGCCTCCCAGCCCGTGGGCAGCGGCGGCACCTCCTCTCTCTCCAGCGCTCAAATCTCCCAGAGCGCCCGCGCCATCGCCACAAAAGCAGCCAACTCAGCGCAAGCTGGCTCATCGTCCGGTGGCTCAGGGTCGGGCCCAGCTTCTCACCACTCGCACCATAACCACCACACCCACACTTCATCCTCCACATCAGCGGGCACAGCGGGGCCCGTGCAAGGACCCGCCCCGGCCCCGGCCCACCACTATCACCACTCGACTGCCCAGGCGGATACCTCATTCCCTTCGTCACCACCGACTCCGGCTTCCTCAACCCCCATCCCGATCAACCGGGCTCCAGCTGATCGTCAGCGTCGCGGCAGTGACAGTTCCAGTGGCTCCGGCGGGTTCCGCGATGCTATAGGGCCCGAGAAGTGGTATATTGGGGGCCGGACCCCGGCTGGTGAAGAGCGGTTCTATCGTCTTGGGATGGTGACCAAGGGTGGCGGGCGGCTTGGAGGAAGTGGACGGGTTGGCAGCATCGACCAGTTGAGTCTGTGATGAGACTGTGGTCGCTTCTTCTTCTGCTTATGTATCTCCCTCGATACGAAGCTGCCTTTTGGACCACGATCATATTGGTCGCACTGATGCTTACGAACTTCATGCTTGTGTTTTCTGTTTTGGTTCATTCGTGTGGCCTATGGCATTTACCGGGCGTCACCGGGACGGCGTTTTTCTCACTCTTGATTTATGGAGGGCTGGGGAATGGGTTTTTTCTTCTATTGGCTTTGCTGGTTCAAAGGAAGCCCCAAAAAGACATACATTTACACGATTTCTTACATGACTTATGATCGGCGATTTTGTTACCTCTTTACTTTCTCTCCTCTCTTTTTGCCTGCACCGCAAAGCCTGACCAAAAGTGCATGGATTCCGATATCAGATCAAGGAAACTATCAATATCACGTTCTACTTGAATTTACTAAGTGATCTATACGCATACCTTGCTAGCGTATCTGGCTAGTTAAAGCAATAAACATCATCAAATCATCCAACGTTGAATTCGATAATCGACTAAAATCACAGAACCTGCTGCGTAACACAATGCAAGACACCCCCAGTCCTAGGCAAAGCATTAACAGCAACCTGCTTAACAACCCTTTCAGGAACAAGACTCTTCATCAACTCGAACGCATTCTGGTCGGCAACCGGATCCCCAAACGCAGGCATGACCAAACCCCCATTTGCAAAATAAAAGTTAACATACGAAGCCGCCGGTGCAGCCTCCTCCCCAGGCAAATCGCCCTTCACAAACTTAGGATCAGGCTCAACCACATCATGAACCTCAATCTTCCGTCCACGCGCATCAACAGAATCCTTCAACACCCCCCGAATCTCTTCATAAACATCCCAGTGAACCCTCTCCGCACTCTCATGTGGTCGACAGACAACAACAACACCAGGCCGCACGAACCTCGCCTCGGCATCAATATGCACATCAGTAACATCCAGCCCAACACGCCCGGGGAACCAAATAAACTTGGTAACACCCAGCAGCCGACCCAACTCCGCTTCGATCTCTTCCCGCTCCAATCCCGGATTCCGCGGCGCACCAAGAATACTACTCTCAGTCGCCATGAATGTCCCCTCACCATCAATCTCAATGCCACCACCTTCAAGCCGGATATGCGTTGAAACACGGGTCACTGGCTCCGGACTCGCGTGCGCAGACCGTGCAGCTACCGCCTCATTCTCTAGGTCCAGCACTGCCCGAGCGAAATCCGTGTTCTCGGCTATGGCTGCGTCGTCCATGACAGGCCAGTCTGCGTACGCGGGTGTCTGTTCCAGCGCCAGTGCTGCGGCGGGTGAGGCGCTGCTGCCGTAGATCCGTTCACCGGTTTTGTGGCCCCATTCGCAGAATTGGAAGTCGACTGCGTAGCGCGCGTTGTCGTGGACGCCTCGCACGTAAACGGGGCCTGTGTCGCGGATCCAGACGTGGTTTGTTGGTGCTTGGATTAGAGTTATTGGGTGTGGGAGGGTGGATTCTGAGGGCTGGATCGAGGAGAGGAGAGACTGCGCATGTGCTTGGTCTTCTGGGCGGACGTGCAGGCGCACTGGCTCGAAGGTTGCGATTGTTTTTGCTAGGTTTATGATTTCGTTGCTTGTTTTTGTGTGGAGTTCTGGGAGGAGGGAGCGGCGCGATGGGAAGCTAAGCAGCGTTGCTAGGTGGGGTGTTGTTTCTGCTGGGCATGTGTATTGTTGGCTTGCTGCTTGGGTTTTGGCTCGTCGTTGGATATGCCAGGTTTTGTTGGTGGGAGCCATTGCAATTGCGGTGGTGTGTTTGAAGAGGCTGGAGTTGAGAAACGAAGCTTTGGAGTGTTGGAGTGATAGTCGCGAGTTCTTGATAGAGTCAGATCACATGCATATCAATGATATCACCGGAGTACTTACGGTCGCTAGCTTTGGAGCGCGTCGTAGTAACTGAAGAGACATTGAAGAGACAGGGACCTGAGCAGAGTCCGACTCGGTATTTATGTAGAGCAGACAGTAGACAACGAATGTGGTTAAAATCAAGAGAAGACCGATGAAGTCAACAAGTCGAGAACCCAAAACGGGCAATGGATGACTGCCGATGAGTTGCCTGATTGGGATAGTCCAACCGAGGTGCCTCCAAGGAGCCTCCAAGGAGCCTCACTTGGCTTTCATTCTCTCTTCGTCTCCCAACCACAACATTGGAATGGCAGTCAGAGCTACCAACACTCTCAATGTTCCTGTCATCGCGCTCCACCCCCATCGATACTCCACGAACCCACCCCAGAGCGGTCCGAAAAACACACCCGCAAATTGGCACATACTCTGCAGCCCGAATCCTTGTGCCACAGCACCGTTCAATCCCAGCATGCAGTGATGCTGAGTTTCCATGATAGTAAGAGCTAGCTGGGTCTCGACGTACATGGCTGGTGTGCAGGCGTGAATGAAGATTCCCGTGAAAAACACTAGTAACACGAGCAGCACAATCTGCCCGATGGAGCTCCCCTCAACAAATCGGAGACATATCAGGGTGGGCGAAAGTGCAACGAAGCAGTCAAAGGACACAAAACGCGCACCAAATCGGTCGGTGATGGAGCCTGGTGACAGTATCAGTGATTGTCTCCGTGAGATCAACAAGGCCCTCACCAAACAGGGGTTCAAAAAATGCTCAAATTGCCATTGGGAGGAAGACCAGTCCCATACCAAGGGTGTTCCAGCCAAGTTTCATCTCCACAAACATGGGAAGTGCCTGTGGTGATCAGCAAATGATCTTGATACACGCCTTATCCGCAACCTACCGCATCAAAAGCAGAGAGCAATAGTCCTTGGACAAGTAATGCTGCTGAAGAAATTAATACTCGGCGCTGCTTGAGTATCTGTAAAAGAACCTAACGTCTCCCCCTGGGAGCAATCACTGGCTCATACAGCATTGCAACAGGCATGTGCTGTTCGACATTTAAATCCGACTCGAAGTTCCCATTCGACTCAGTCCAGCAAGCAGCGACTTTCTTCTCAATTAATGCCAATCGCAAAATCATATCAATGGCAATAATCGGATATGCAAACAAAAGAACAGCATTGTCCCCGCTGACAGCATAAATAATGCCCCCAAGGAATGGGCCCAGCAAGAACCCCAACGCAATGGCAGAACCAAGATATTCAACTGTTTGGCCCAGTCGATCCTGCTGCACGGTATCCCCGATCAAGGCGAAAGAGGCAACTACTACTAATGCACCTGAGATCCCCTGGGCTACACGTGCTACTACAAACCCAGCCACGGAACAGGCCAGTTGCAGCATCAGGATACAACCAAATAACAAGACAAGTGCTCCGATGAATGGCAGTCGTCGAGTGCGCCCGCGATCCACTAGGTATCCGAATAATGGACAAAAAATGAGGAATGTCCCCGGTTCGCACATGAGGAGTACGCTGACCCAGTACTCTCCTGTATGGTGTGAGTATGAGATGGACAGCAATTTGTTGATTTGGGTCTGAACTTACGGTGGCTATACTCGATTCCGGCTCGGGTTACGAGGGCTGTCGGCATTACGGGGATGATCTGTTGAACATGAATTATGGCCTTCATTCTTTTCAGAGGAAGAAATCCGCACTTACCATGGCATATAGCAGGATTTCCTTCGTCTCCAAATCAGTCTAGTCATGGATTGAGAAGTCTGAGCAAGTCACATACCGTGAAAGTCGACATCCAGACAGCGCCCACGATGAACGTTGTCGACGAACGCAGTTTCAACAATCTTGGTCGACGATTCCCCCCATGGCCCGTCCTCGATACTGATGGGTCCCATATGGTCTAGTGAGATCAAAAAGCGAGGACCAAAACGAAACAGAACAAAAGTTTTCGCGGTGGGGGATCAACAAAGACAACATTGCCCAGCTCAGGTCAAGTAGCATATCCCAGGGATCCAAGCCAAGCTACATGCTTTTTGTCCAACAAAGAAAACAACCATCAGCCGAGCCTCAATGTAGAACCCTGAGTGCCTCCCCCAGTCGCAAAACCTTATGGTCTCTATAACCCTTGTCCATCTTATTGGGTTTGTCCTGCTGGTTGATCTTCGATTCCACGTGCTTTGCTCTGTCGAATCCAACGACCCATAAACTACGTGCAGATCTCCAGGACATCTCAATCTCGTTCGTCTTGTCCTTGACCAGTTCCCAAAGCCGTAGTCTAGTTAGTTCTTCAAAGATAGGATGTCCTACAGTGACTTTGTCACTTCAAGTGATAGAATTCCCAAATACAATTTCTAGAAACCTGTTGGTCACGATCTATAGAATTCAACCAAATGTATACTCCCATGGATATATATACGGATCAGTAGAGCTGAATTAGTTACTTCTACCAAAGACACAACGAACATCAACAATAAAGTTAATAAAACCACACCGATTCAATCAGCGAATAGTAAAGAGTGAATTATGACTATCCTACACTGTCTAACAACGACATGACTATGCGCAATAACCAAAGGGTAAGTTGTTAATTCAGTCTACCATATCGCAGCTCTCCGCGTTGGCTCTACCCGTAGTGGAGGTCGCCGAACGGAAGTGGAGAGTGTGCGTTCACGTAGATCGTAAGGTGATTTGAGATCCCGGTAGAGAGTAGAGACTCTGACGGGTTTTGATATGGACCTCCGTTCTAGAGGAGAAAATGAGGAGTACGCTTGACTGTTTTTATTCGGGCGTCGGAAGTTCGGAGACCGGGCCTGGAATGTTGATGGCTTCACGGTCGATCTCGAGAGGTTCGGGCTGGGCCGAGAGTCTGGGGAGGAAACCTGTGCTTTTCTTTTCTTGGTTTAGATCAAATTGAACAGGTCATTGGAGGGATTTGAAGAGCAGACACCGAATGCGAGGCAGTCAGGCCATACGAGAGAGAAGTTGATAAGATCGGGAGTGGAGAGAGGCGGCCATCCGCGGCCATCGGAGGTGCCCGATGGCGATGGCATTTAAATACGCTTATCTGCTGGACTCACCCTCTTTTTTTCCTCTCTCTCAGCTGTGCATTCAGATTCACAAATCCTTTCTATCCTCTCTATCCTACTCTTATCTCAAAATGAGCGCATTGGGACCCGCCCGTTACGGCAAGGACAATGTCCGCGTGTTGAAGGTCGAGCGTGATGCGAAGACCGGCATTCAGACAGTCGTGGAGATGACTGTCTGCGTTCTGCTCGAGGGCGACATTGAGACCTCGTCAGTGATACCATTCATACCATGCTCAAGCTGATCCAACACCCACTAACCCTATCTCTAGCTATACCAAGGCCGATAACAGCGTGATCGTCGCAACCGACTCGATCAAGAACACCATCTACATCACAGCCCGCCAGAACCCCGTCACACCCCCCGAACTGTTCGGTTCGATTCTCGGATCACACTTTATTGAGAAATACAGCCACATCCACGCCGCGCATGTCAACATCATCACCCACCGCTGGGAGCGCATGGACGTCGACGGCAAGCCGCACCCCCACTCCTTCATTCAGCCCGGCGCCGAGACCCGCGATGTGCAGGTCGATGTTGTCGAGGGCAAGGGTATCGCCATTAACTCCGCGATCAAGGGCCTGACTGTGCTGAAGAGCACGGGCTCCCAGTTCTGGGGTTTCCTGCGGGACGAGTACACCACTCTCAAGGAGACCTGGGACCGTATTCTCAGCACCGACGTCGCTGCCAACTGGCAGTGGCGCCAGTTCGCCAACGTGGCCGAGGTCAAGGCCGACGTGGGCAAATTCAATGCTGCTTACGAGGCTGCGCGCAAGATCACCCTCAAGACTTTTGCTGAGGATGTCAGCGCCAGTGTCCAGGCCACCATGTACAAGATGGGCGAGCAGATTCTTGCTGTTGCGCCTTTGCTTGACACTGTTGAGTATTCGCTGCCTAACAAGCACTACTTTGAAATTGGTAAGTTCTCGGACTGCTTTCTTTTCTGCTGCCTTCAGCCTTGCGAGTTCTGGACTAATCGTGGCGCTTATAGATCTGTCTTGGCACAAGGGCCTCAAGAACACTGGCAAGGACGCCGAGGTTTATGCTCCTCAGTCCAACCCCAATGGTCTTATCAAGTGCACTATTGCCCGCGCTGGCCAGAAGGCCAAGCTTTGAATGCTAGATGTGGGTTAGGCTGTCGGCGAGCTCCGACACGATTTTGTTATATTCTCTCCTGTACATATATCTTATGCTCTGATACCTCTGGGATATCGCCTCCCTATCTCAAATCCAATCTAGGACATCACAAAGTCACTTTACTTTCGCTTGCAAGTTGTTTCCCATGATAATTGATTTAGTATGTAGTATTGTATGTGCTAAAAGTACATTTCAATTCAAGGAAACCGCAGGCTGGAGAAGATGAATAGAAAAGTCCGAGGCCAAGCCAACGGTAGAGTAGATGGTAAATCAAAAGCAATATCCCAGGTTGACTCCGAACCCATGCGCTTTTGCGGTTGGATCATAACATCGCAGAATAGAATACAGACACGCGCGGACCCGGTTGAGGTCGCGTTGTAAAATGACGATAATGGTAACAGGAGAAGGAGAGGTATATATGCTCTATGCGGTGGGCTCGGTAGACTTGGCGGCCTTGAAGGCTTCTTGCACTTCGGGCATGGCGCCGATCATGGTTGACTTGTTGCCGAACTTGACAATGTTCTCCTTGTAGGGGTGGGCGAGACCTTCGAAAGCTGCAGGGAGGTGTTAGTTTATAGTCATCACAAAGGGATCGAGATGGAGTAGATATAGAGGGAGATTGTCCTCCTCATTCGAGGGCAATTGGACATCTCCGCTATTCATCAGGGGGGGGGGGGGGCGCGGCACTCACTCTTCAGACGAGCCAAACGAGAGTCCTGCAAACGGTTCTTGGGCAGCATGCCCTTCACAGCCCGGCGCAGCACTTCACCACCTCCCCATTTAGCAAACATCTGGTCCATCGTCATGCTCTTCAAGCTACCCGGTCGTGTCGTGTGAGTGTAGTACTTCTTCTGGAAACGTTTCTTTCCTGTCGTCTTGAGGTCGTGGCATCCGGCAACTACAACGTAGTCACCACAGTCTGTCGAGGGATCGTAGATGGGCTTGTTCTTGCCCATCAGGACGAGGGCGATGGACGAGGCGAGGCGGCCCAGGGAGCGTTCATCCGTGCCAGCGTCGACATAGTGCCATGTACGCGAATAAGCAAGACGCGTCTGGAGTATCAATTGTTAGAATTGGATCCGTTGATAGTGATTGCGGAGGGTCCGGCAGACTCCGCATTGAAGCTATTTACCTTGCCGACAAGTTGCGACATCTTGATGGGATGACGGAGAGCGCAGTAGAGGGGGTGGGGATAGGCAAAAGTAGAACAAGTAATGGAACCAGATAGCCGTTTTCGGATCAAAGTAACAAGATAGACCCAACACCCAAGTCTGGCCGAGATTCAACGCTTAATCTGATCGGCCTCTCGCGGTACTGTTGTTCCCCCGACGAAGTTCTCCGGGTCATGTGACCAAGCCCTAAGTCTCGTGCAGGGCTAAACCCAATTGGGCACTAGCGGCCGCACACTAAGCGAAACCCGCACCGAAGGGCAAATCAGTGTGTATGGGAATTCAAGTGATCTCTTTTTCCATCTCCCACGACAACACACTCCCCTCCCCGTCGACAACAAGGGCCATTTCATCCACCATGGCTTCCGTCCCGAGTGTGCAATGCTTCGGCAAGAAGAAGACGGGTAAGCTATAATTTTCCGATGCCAGGTCTTGAATCTGTGCGCTGACCTTCAATTTTCAATAGCCACCGCTGTCGCCCACTGCAAGGTATGAAGACGCCTCTACCCCCATTCTCGATGTCAAAACGTTGTTTCGGAAAACCTGGAAGAAATTATGGAAGGCTATTGTGGAAGAAAAAAAGAATTGGAAGGTCGATATGGAATTTTCGGAAGGGTCTACGAACAACGGATTGCGCGAACATGGGGGTTTACACACGAATGAATTGGACAACATGCTGAGTGTTTTTACAGCAAGGCAAGGGCCTCGTCAAGGTCAACGGCCAGCCCCTCTCTCTGGTCCAGCCTGAGATCCTCCGCTTCAAGGTACGCACAATCGCTCCGCCGATACCCGTCCGCCTGGGTCCCCAAAAAAGGGATTCACTCGCAACCCGACAAATGGCAACGGGCACACGTTCAACGCAGTTCAAAAAACTGACTCTTCGAAATTTAGGTCTACGAGCCCCTCCTGATCGTCGGCGTTGACAAGTTCGCTGGTGTCGACATCCGTGTCCGTGTCACCGGTGGTGGTCACACCTCCCAGGTCTACGCCATCCGTCAGGCCATCGCCAAGTCCATTGTCGCCTACTACCAGAAGTACGTCGATGAGCACTCCAAGAACCAGCTCAAGCAGGCTCTTGCTCAGTACGACCGCACACTCCTGGTTGCCGACAACCGTCGTGCCGAGCCCAAGAAGTTCGGTGGTCGCGGTGCCCGCTCCCGTTACCAGAAGTCTTACCGTTAAATTTTTCTTCTTTCTTATACCTTATTACGCGGCGAAAGGGAAAAGAAAAGTTTACAAACGGGAGGAAATGGGATCGTGTCTGTCTTATGTCTTTTTTTCTCTCACGACTCATTTCCATGACTTCTTTGGTGGACTGGTGTATGGGATTGGGAGGATCCCGGGGGAATGTGTACTGAGCGGTTTCTGTTCGATATGACCGCTCGTACATGAGATCCGAGAACCGGGCTGGAGGTCTTTGGGAAACATGGCCTCTGGTTGCTGTGCCGGTTTCTGTTGAGGATGGATATCCTATGTTTTTCACTGGCGCTGTCCTGCACGGCTGGAAAAAATACCTAGCATAGCCAGGAAAATCTACTCAATGATACTGGGTTTTATCTTGTTCAATCTTCCTTGTTATTTTTGGCACCGAACTAGTTTAATTGCGGCGTTTGGACAATTCTTTCAGGCTACTAACCTCTAATTTCTCCCCTCTCACGGTTTTCGGCATGCAGGATCTAGAGGTATCATGTAAGCAGCTAACTACCCAGCCAGTTTTTATTATTACATACATACAATGTTACTGGAGCTCAAGTGAAAAGCCATGGGATATTTTTGAACTGCTTGTTCGTGGGGTTGCACTGAATCACTGGCATTGCAGCATGTCTACACCGCCGTGCCAAGATCGTGATAAAATCGATCACCGGTCAAAACCGGCAAAATAGATTTGAGCCCTAACTTGTTCATGCTTCTTGTCAACTTTGATATGCACATGCTAGATTCCTGTTTACTCTGTAGCACTAAGAAATGTGTCTTGAAGGATGTTAGAATGGAATGCTAGCTCCATGGTATAGATTGAAGCATGGCACAGTCCATCATCCTGGGTACAGGCTGAGTTAAAATATACATTTGACAGGGGGTTCCATCATATCATCAGTCAAATTCAGCAGAATCTGTTTGTTGCTTACTTAATTTATTTGGCTTCTTGCTTTGTAAATGCTTATGTTGTGAAATACTGTATTATGACAACATGAGACTAACTCATGCAACGTTAGAACGTCAACGTTACTAGGAGCTTAAGAGTTTGTAGACCTATCAGCCCAACTTCAAATATGGAAAAAGTACAGTTGCATGATTCACAAATCTATGTTTTAAAGTGTGGCCGATGAAATTCAGCAGGATTGCTTCGAGTCTTAGCCTGAGGCTTCCTCCTGTTTTATACATTTTCGCATTCCCGTACATCGTGGAAAAACAGGGACGATTCTGGCACATGAGGCTTTCATTGGTCCTGTTCTCTGACTCAGTTGTTCCAAATTTCTTCATATTGATTATATGGGGGAGGCCTATCGAGACCAGACACTCTCTGCAGTTCTTAAGAGAAGTGAGAGCTCTCGATGGCATTTCTCGATGACGGCTGAGGGGAAACCTGCAATGCTTCGAGTTAACAATCATCGAAGTATTTTCATCGTTATAGAGATCAATTACCTGCAGTCAAAAATGCGGGAAACGCTTATCTCACGCCCACTGCCAAGCTTGGATTTTCCTCCAAGTTTTGCATGCAGAGATTCTGTGACCATTTTGGCCCGTTGTGTTGTACGATGAATTATGGAGACCATCAGAATCATTCATCCTCGTATCTCAGAAAATCAGCCCAGAAAGGCCATAGGACGTGGATTCGGACCACCATCAAAGCTTCAAGGTCTTGATGTTTGTATATGAATAGAAGTGCCTTGAAATTCATGTTGTATTGTATTCGTGATAGCCTGCAGAGGAAATTTGGAAATTAATTGAACAATGTCAGTATTCCATCCACAAGTTCAATATTTAGAAGGGCTTGGGCATTGGATTGTAAGTAAATCAGACATGTTTTGTCAGCAGCGAGAAGAGGTCGTCCTCAGCCCCTGAAGGCGAAAAAAAAGGCTCATTATTGGAATTAAGGTCATAGATGTGTGTGTGTGTGTGTGTCAATTGATGGAAATACCTTGGAATTCTTGTTGTTTCGTTTTCATGATAGCCTGTAAACTTTCAAATGACCGAGGTGTGCTTTAACCACTTAGGGGTATATGAAACATATTTCTAACAATGTTAGTACTCTATCCCGAAAATGAATATTGAGGGACGCTTGGGCATGAGAAAGTCAATGGGTCAGATAATGTGTGTAAGCAATGACAGAGGTAGTCCTCTGCTCCTAAAAAGGATGAGCAAAATTGATAATGAAAGCTTCAAGGCAAGACATTTAACTCAGTCAACTTACCGTGAGGAGCAATGAATATGCTGTCATGCCATGAGGCTGCCAAAGAGAAAGACTTAAAAATATCAAGAGAAGTTAGTTTAGCATCGACAAATTCAGCAAGGCTTGGGAACCACAATGCAAATAAACCAGACATCTGTCGCTATGAGTTATTCATTGGCCAAGGCCACATCATTGTAGCGTCATCATGGTAGCGTTTATCATCATTAAAGTTCAGAAGGGCAATGTGTAAATGCTGCAATACGTACCATAAAATGCATCGAGTGTAGTGTTGTTTTCATGATATAACAGCGTGTCAAATAAAAGCCTATGCTTGAGAGAGAAATTTCGGTAATGTTGTCTCAATGCAAATGACACATTCGTGATCGTTCAAGTGTTTCAGATAATTGAGTCAGTTTATTGAACAAGATCCCATACCATGTTACCAGAGAAATTCGGTCTTAGTCTGATCTCAAAAAAAGATATCCCTGTTCTGGGGTTGTCATGTAAGTTGCCAGACCACTGTAGTGTAACGGAATATAGAAAAGGAGAGACGTTTCGACGATTCGTGGCAGTGCCACTCACGGTAAACTTTGAAGACTGGAGTAGAAAGCAAGCCAGAGTATTCCAATATGTCTGCATAAAGCCACAGAAGGACATTTAGTGTTTCTCCTCACTGTATTTGGATCAGATAGTGGGAATTCAGAATCACAGCGTGGACTTCAACAGTGCATAACCTTTATAAGGTCTGCTCGGGTGTAGTATCACAATCATCATTAAAGAAAAGAAAAAATGTATTCTTCTATTTCCCCGTATATTTGGATGGAGAGTGTAAATGGGCTTGGAAAGATAGAAAAATCACTTAGCTATATATAACGGCATCGCCCTAGAAGAACAATTGGTATCCATCGTCTCTGTATTCGGATTAGATAGTAGGATGTAAGGGTCAGATAGTGGGAGCTCAGATCCACAGCGTGAATTTCAACAGTGCATAACCTTTAAAGGGTCTGCTCGGTTGTAGTATCACAATCATCATTCCCTGTATTTTTAGATGCGGGGAGCGTAACTGGGCTTGGAAAGTAAGAAAATCACTTAACTGTATGTAATGGCGTCGCCCCAGATGATGGATTTTGGCATAACGCTGGCTCATACTCATGAATCTGAAGAGAAGTATCAGGCATTCAATGAAAAATGTATAAATAACGGGTTATCATCAATTTGGGCCAGTTATCATCGGTGCGGTGGACTAAAGCGTATTGTTGTACCCCGGTGGTAGTCATGTCGAGACAAATCTGGCGGCAGATAGACATGCAATCTATGCGATACAAAGTGTCAGTATATGAGCATAGAAATGGGTGTGTTTAAAAATTGATTGCAGACTTCAAACCCTTTGAGAACCTGCCATCGACTCAAGAAATGCGCCGCATCTGGAGCGACATTGGATCAACCACAATCATGAGAGGCTTGCCAATTTCGTATCCCCGCATTGCGAAACTATAATTAAACTCAAGACTCGGTGTTTTTGAATAGAACCAACTGCAATGAAGTGTATCAGAAGAACAGAAGAACCTGATCCAGCAACACGAGATTGGCTGTCCAGCACAGGGCGAGTGTATATCGGGTCTGAGAAGTGTTTGGAGGGGTTTCATACTGGTAAAAAGCAGTCAAATCTAGAGGTAATATTCCAGAAGTTAGCCGCTTAGCTGTTCCCAAGGTGTTTTAACCAGAGTGGCAGCCCTCGCCCGGTCGGGTATAAGATTCATGGTCTCTCAACAACTCAGCATTTGTTCCACAATCCTATAACCCAGAGCCAAGAGGTAGTTGAGTGTTATTGAGAAGCTTATTGTTCTTGGCAATTGCGATATTCGACTTGATTCAGTCGATTCAGTCGGCTGAGTTGGTTGTATTTGGAGTGCGCCAAGGACGCATTATCGGGAAAGGAGCTTTGAAACTAGCCTTCTAGGGTGTCAGTAAGGCAACGGGATACAAGGTGGCTGTCAAAGAACAGGTGAGCACTTAGTCTTTTCATCCCATGCCCTAGACATGTAAGACTTCGAGATGAAAAGTGGTTGGCGAGTCAATCGCTTCGAGAACCTCGAATTCGTGGTTATGGGGTGGTTGTATTGGCGTGAAACCTGGAATATGTGCAAGTGATATGTGTCACATCAGAGTATGTCTTGAAAGGAGCAAATAATTGACGAGGTGAGAAAAATAAGTGGACTGGAGATTGGCGGACTCGTGGGAAGATGAATCATCGCAAGAGGTCGAGGATAGACCGAATCCCACGACAAAGCCGAGTCAACATCAGATTATCAAATGACAACGTGGACTTTATTTTTGGGTATAACGGATTAACGCCCAACAATCACATTCATACGATCTACTTGGCTGAGAAGTGTCAACAAATGTATCTACAGTGAGCCAGTCTATATTGAACGATTGAGATTGAATTGAGGTCCTAAAAGCTGAAGACGTAGTGCTGTATACAAGTTGAGAGCATACGAAATGTGTTTTGGCACTACGGGGATTGCTTGCTCAACTTGTGAGTTGATGGTTCTTGATCATAATGAGAAAATCGGCCTGGTGACTGTTCAACTGACATAAAGCTTTGGAACCTCCATGGAGATACTCTGTGACTATTTCAATGTACCTGTTCTTTTGTGTATCTAGGTATACCTTGAATGATGCAACCTTGATGCATGGTAGTAGGAATTGACACTATCCAACAAGCCACTGAAAACTTGAAATTACAACCATGTGCCATAGACAAGAAAAAGCTACAGCCTTAGCCGTGTAGAACTGTAGCTTGTTTTTTCTTTTCAAATTTTCGTGCTTCTTTTCCTCCCATGTTATCATTTCCCAGATATGATGCGGTAGGCGACTTCATGTGTCTACCCGGTACCAAAGGGGAGGACATGCTTGGTATACCTGCAC